ATGCTTCAGAACAGTGACTGCTCTTGTATGGGATTCCCAGACATCCAGATGAGTTTCCCTCCTGGGAAAGCATGGAAGAGGGGCAGAGTGAGACCAGTCAGGTGTCTGGACCTTCTGTTTCTGGCAGGCACCCTTTCTGAGAGCCATGGACACTGGCTGCCAGAAAGGGTTGAGAGCTCTGTGGAGGATTGCTAGTGGAGAGGAAAAGCACAAATGGGAAGTGAGGCATCCCTGCAGGCCAGGCAGCAACAGGGTCTGACACTCAGGCATGTCTTACATTTGAATCAAGACCACTGGTCACCTTATCACTATGGGAGAAAAGGCAGTGTGGACCACTACTGAGACATTTTAAAGGAATATTATGTAGATTACAGGAGAAATAAGCATCAGTATAATGAAAGCAGATTTCAGGACATAATGGTGAAAGAAAAACCTATAACCATTTGTTAGAGTGGGGAGAGGGATGGCTTGTATATTAGGAAATGGCTCTTTGATCAGAACATGAGCTCTTCCTATTAGTCATTTAAGATAGAGAAAAATGTGAGCTTGGGAGGTTCTTAGGCCTTCAGTCTTGCCCTGTGTTTACCAGCTCTAGGATGAGCAGGCGGTGGGCAGCGGGACGTGGGCTCCATAGGTGTAGGTTGTGGGCATCAGCTCATGGCAAGAAGTCACCCAGTTCTGGATACCAGGAATGGCTAATAGAGAGGCCAAATAGAGAGCACTGACTGGTTCCAAGGATCTGTTGAGCAGGAGGCTTCAAGTCCAGGAAAGTAATTCAGTTTCTTGTCCCAGGTGTCTGGGGCACTTGTCCAATCTAGAGTTACAGAAGCCACAGGTTCTGCCTGCCTGAAGAAGAAACTGTTCTGTGGTGCCCACCACAACCTTTAACCACCACAGACTCCCTCCCTCACTTACCCACTGCAGGGTGGGAGAGAGAGATGGGGAAGAGAACTGCAGGCTATCTCCTGGGCAGGGGAGCTCCACCTCTGATGGCTGGTATCCATCCAGTGAACCTAGTTCCCCCAGGGGTGCATTTCTCTGTGCCCCTGGGCTCCGGGTTCCCAGGTAGGCACTGGAAACCAGACAGGGTTCACTGACCACCAGAAGCCCCTCACCCCCCACAACCAGAGACTCAGTCGCTGGTGGGGGGGAGGATGGGGGCGTGGAAGAGTGGGATGGGTATATCGATGGTCGCAGCCCACCACGACGTGGAAGAAGACTGAAGGTCCGAGATCAATACCTACAACAGCCGGCCATGCTTATTGTTTATAAAAAGAAGCCCCTTTTGTTCTTATTTTACCAAAGAAAGGAGCAAACATATGTGTGTTTTTCTAATCGAAAATTTCCGGACGCAGAAGCAGCTAAGTCATCTTCCGGAATCATGCCCCAGTCTCAGATCTCCTGGACCCTTCATTTCGGTCCAGACGCGTGCTTGCTTCTGGGAAGCCCCACATCTGACTGCGGAAGGTGCTTAAGGGCCGCAAACTAACACACCCAAACGGTGTCTGCTGGCAGCCGAGGCATTCCCCACCCCCAGCCACCGCTCTCCAGAGCGGGGTTTTCTTTGGAAGCGAAGTGGCTCCTGGTGATCAGCTTGTCTGGTGGGCCAGGCCGGGCTTCCGATTCCATTTAACACAACCTGCGCATCTTATCTTCGAGCCGCCTCCTCGGGTTTCCCACCTACCTTTGGCCCAACCCAGCCAGGCGGAAGACAAGCCGTGAGCTTTTGAAGTCTGGAGAATTTCAATCCGAGAGGAGCCGGCTGGCCCAGAGCCCGTCGCCCCAGCAGGGGTGGGGGCGGCAGGCGGGGCCCTCCCAGCCGCGGGAGGTGGAAAAAAAAAAAAAAAACTAGCGCAGACATGATATAAATGTTGCTTTGAGATGTTTAAAATTATTCCAAGTATATCTGTTCTCTAGGATATCTTACCAGACAGTCCCCTTCCCACACAGGCCGCGGGAGGTGGAAAAAAAAAAAAAAAAAAGGCAAGGGCCCATTCCGGACCTCAATGAAGCTCCTTTCACCCCCTCTCCGCTTTTTTGGGGTCGCCCAGATCGCTGTGACCGCGGGCCTCACTCCTTCGATTTTATCTTCCTTAACGGGATAACCTTCATGATACCTCGCTGTTAAAATATCCATTCTCCACATAAACCAAAAAATCAACAAAATGCTCCAAACAGTGATTTTATCCAGTCCCCGTTTCCTTCTTCCTCTTGTTAAGAATCTGACCTCTCTTCTGATGTTGACAGAAAGGATGCTTTTGAAATAAGTGACTGATATTTCTATATAACATTTTTTTCTTTCCAGTACATGGGGTACATTGGGTCCCTAAGCACCAGAGAAATTGAGGTTACTTTGAAAGGGAGGAGACAGGAAGAGAGAGAGATAGTGTGGGGATCAGGTTGAGGGGAAGACACCCTGAAGCTTTACACCGAACCTTAGAGGGGGCAGGCCCCCTCCCCCAGAGGTTTGAGCCTCCTCTGGACTCAAGGGGAAGCCTGACTCGATTGTGCTGGACTCAGGAAGGAGCCGCAAATGGCACCTCTTGATCTCTCAATCCTACTCTGCTTTCATCTCACAGGGAAAACCCTAAGCAAGAGGATCAAAAGCAGACCACTACCATTGAATGCAAAATTGGGGGCGGGGCAGGGGAGCCCAGAGTCCCTCTGAGGACCTGGCCCCACTGAGGTGAAGGCGGTTGGATGACTGTGAGAAGGCTGTGGACTGGCGGGGGCAGGAGGGATGGGGGTGACCCAGTCCTAGTGTTGGATGGGCTCAACAGAAGGTGGATAATCTTCTCTCTAATGTAGATTTTGGGGGTCTCCATTTTGACAGGTAGGAGGAGCAAGGCAGAAACTCCTTCAACTACTGACTGTTGGCTGGGAAGGGCAGGTTATGACTGAATCCTAGGACAACTCAGCATCACAGCAAAAGGTCCTGGAATTTGATCCCCTTTACTAGAAATTATTCCTCTCACACCTTTTAAAATATTCCCCCAGAATTCTGAGCTAGCAGCTCAGCAGATGGTGGCTTGAGGAGTCCAGGCAATGGAGATGTTTTACTATATTCCCTTCTGGACTCCCTTGTTCTTCTCACCCTCCTGATGCCCCTTACCCCAAGCATTAATGAGCATCTTCTTATGGAACTGAGGGAGAAGTGAAAATCAGAAGAAAGCAGAGCGTTTCTGTGTTTCCTTAAATCCCTTACTTCCTCCACCATCTCCTCCCCCACGGAAAGGAAGACTGGGGGAGAAGAGTGGAGGAAAAAAAAAAAAGGAAGAGAGAAAAGTAGGAAAGAAAAAAAAAAACAAAAATCAAAAAAGTAGTTATGAAGCAATTTTTAGACTCTCAGAAAATGAGATTTTGCCTTGGAATGCCAAGAAGGGGGGCGGGGGTGCACAGGGCCAGCAGGGCCAGCTTTTTTTGTGCCTGACTGTTCAGAGCTAGAATCTCTGAGGAGAGTAGAGAAAAGAGAGTTCTAGGGATCACAGAAGGGAAAAGGCAGGTATGTGCTTCCTATCCTCAGCCAAGTGTGGAGCGAGTCACCCATCTGCCGGGTCTGAACATACTAGCTGGGAGCTGACAAGGGGTTAGTTTCTTAGTGGGTTCTATTCTAAATTCCTGATAGACCTGAGAGGGAGCTTACAGCTGCCCCCAAAGTTATCAGTGTTAAAAATAGCCCTCAACTCTGCAATGGAGGTTCTCTTATGGTCCCCCAGATTTGCCAAATCTATCAGATCCACCAGTCACGTGCTCTTTCATGGTTGATTTTCAGTGACTATGCCACTCCAGTGCCCCCCACATTTTGTGAACAGGGGATCACAGTCCTTTGGCAGAAGAACCCTGTGTGTGTGGAGAACCTTCTGAGACAAATCTCTTCAAACCCCAGTAACAAGTACTTGAGTACTCTCACTCCTCATGCCAATTCCCAGGTGAGGATTTATCTAATCCCAGTTAGGAGTCTCCAGTCCTGCTGCAGTAGGCAACTATTTTGATGGAGCTTGTTCACTCAAATGATCTGTTTCTGGGAAATTCGTTGACTCTGAACGAATACCTTAAAATATGGGCAAGAAAAGGAAAAAAGACCACTCTTAGAATCTCTCTCCACCCTACATACCTGAAGTGCAGGTGAGGCCAGAGCAAATGAGAAAGCGATTTCTTCTAGGATTAGCCACTTCCAGGTCAAGGTGGGCTGTGGAATGCATAAAGTCACCTAGATGGGAAGAGGGGAAAACATTCAGTGAACATTTTGATCCAGCAGCCAAGGTGAGTCTTTAAAGGAAAAAAAAAATAATAAGGCATTTTCTTGTCTCATGGGGAGGAAAAATAGTAAAGTTCTCCTTTGGTTCCCGGGAGGAAGGAGACAGCTGGAGGTAAGGAGTGGGAGGAGGAAAAGAGAGGAAGGATACCCCACACCCTAGCTCGCCAGAAAACTTGGGGGGGGGGGTTGGTGGCGGAATATGTTTTTCGGTAGCTTGTAAAAAGACTTTGGAGCCGTAGGAGGTTAGCTCCCAGGAGCAGGCAGTTGTAATAATGATGAGAGAAGTGAGGCTTGTGAGTCCGCCTTCACACTTCTAGAAAGCAGTTTTGGATTCCTTCATCAGTGTTAGATCACGAAACGAAGTAAAAAAAAACAATAACAATAAAAAGAATGAAAAAACATATTCAATTACCGAGTCCCGCAGCCCCCTACGGAACTCGCTGCGCGCGTTAAGCTCTCTTTTCTTTTGCGGAATTCCATTTGCATTCCCTCTGCTTGGGTGTCTCCCTCTCTCAGTGTGTGTGTCTCTCTGTTTTCACACTCTCCTCCCCATTCGAGTGAGGCCCACACCTGGCGCATCACTGCCGAGCCATTAGCTGCGGGTCTCCTTTCATCTTCGCTGTGGCAGACGTTTCTATTTATCCACTTGCGCTCGCCGAGTGGCGTCACCAGCGGTACTGTAATGACGATTGCAGCAGAAGGATGACAGCTTAGAAAGAAGAGGGCAATGGGGCTTCCTCCCAGAGGCGGTGCGGCACGGAGGAGCGCTCGCATCACAAGGTGACCCCAGCTCCCCACCGCCACCGCCGTCGTCACCGTCGACATCGCGCTCCGGCCGCTCCTCGTCCATCCGGTCGCCCGGCCTCTCTTTCACCCTTCGGAAGCCAAGATCTGTCCGGCCGCTTGGGGACTCAGGGAGCCCCAGGCTAGAGGCTCACTTAGGAATTTCCCCCTCCCCCCCGCCAGAGACCCCCCGGGATGGAGAGCCGAAAGGACATGGTTATGTTTCTGGATGGGGGTCAGCTTGGTACTCTGGTTGGCAAGAGGGTCTCCAATCTGTCCGAAGCCGTGGGTAGCCCGCTACCCGAGTCGCCTGAGAAGATGGTGCCCCGTGGTTGCCTGAGCCCGCGGGCCGGTCCTCCGGCGGTCCGAGAGCGCGGCGGGGGAGGCCTGGAGGAGGAGCCGGTCGACGGACTAGCAGGCAGCGCTGCGGGACCCGGCGCCGAACCGCGGGCAGCCGGGGCTGCAGTGCTTGGCCCGGGACCTCCCGCCCCCTCCGCGGACAGCCTCTCGGGACAGGGGCAACCTAGTAGCTCGGACACGGAGTCGGATTTCTATGAAGAAATCGAGGTGAGCTGCACCCCGGACTTCGCCACCGGGAACGCGGAGTACCAGCACAGCAAAGGTAGCCACCGCGCTTCTTCTGTCCCCGGGCCTCCTACCGCGCCCACCTTCCATTTCAGCTCTGGATGGGGAGAAAGAAGATCCTTTCCCCCACGACAGGGTGGTTGGGTTGGGGGACCCACCTGAGTAACTCTGCCATGTTATCTAGGTCCTGACAGGGGTCTCCCGTGCTCAGGCACTGGTGGGACTAATGGTGACAGTTGTGCTTTAGAGGGTGGAGGGAGACACAGCCCTGAGCTCGAGGGGGATTCAAAGTGCACCCCAACCCTCCTGTGTTTTGTGGGACTGCTTCAACATCGCGGGAAGACTCTTTCCCGCGGCTTGGGCGAGATCAAACGGAGGTCTGGGCAGTTTGTAGCTGGCTGGGTGTAAGGCGCATCCAGGCGCGGAAGCAGGAGTCCATAAAGGACAGTAAAATCGCTGCCGACTGGGACTGCCTGGTGCAGGGGCTCTCCAACCAGTTTGCACGTCGGTCAGAGGTCCAAATTACCTTGTCACTTCCCGGGCTCCTTGGCGCCAGGTCGGAAATGGTCCCAATGATCTAATTGCCTTTGGTCTCCGGTTGCATTTGAAAAGGCAGAGCTCTGGCCCTCCCCCTTCCCCTTTCCTTCCTAGTTCCACTTCTCCACCCAAAGGAAAAGAAGCTGCAGGGGGCAGGAGCCCCACCCTTCCCTAGGGTAGGCCCAAAGGGGGGCTGTCACACTGTTTTAACTGCAGAACTCTTCCTCGACCAGGGGCTGGTAGGGAGGGGATGAGCAGTCAGAAAGTGAATCCCTTGGGAGGGGTAGACAATTGGGAGGGAGTCTACCAGCAGGCACTCCTCCACAAAGCTGCTGGGGTGGATGGGGAGAACCTGATCAGAAAGAAAAACCAAGTCCTGGTCTTGGCTGCCAACATCTTGTTGAGCACCCATACATACTCATTACCACCTTATCCTCTCAGCCCAGACTCCTTGACCTGCATTTAGACAACCTATACTTCACTCAAGTATACTAATGTTAAAGGATTCTTAAACAGACACCCTATGCCATTTCTGCAACACATACAGTGCACATTCACTTACTTGTATTGGCAACCTGATACACACAAAAGCAAGGAAACTTAGCTCTTGCCTAGCATTCTACAGTGCCCTAAGACCCAGAGTTTGCAACACCCCCAGCACAAAGGTGCAGTTCAACTCACTCTCTGTTAAGATATGCACATCCTTGCCCATCTCTGTCAGTGGCAGGCAGAAAACTCAGATGGGCAGCTTCACTCCTGTGGCCAGGGTAGGTGGCTAGGGTGGCCTGGGGCTTGTGTCCTCAGCAGTCTCTAGAGGAGGCTTCCCAAACAACAGCCTCGTCAGGTCTCCCTAATGACATGATATGCCCTTCCTTCAGTCCTCCCTTCTGGGTTCTTGAAGTTCCCCGTCCCCCAACAGACAGAGACTGAGAAAGAGGAATCTCCACTACCACCTCCACATACTGTGGTTCTATGCCCCATATCAATGTCGTTTGTGTGTTCTGTGTGTGCATGGGCTTGGGCTTCTTGTACAGGGTCTAGCTCCGAGGCACTGGCCAGCAGCCCGAACAGTGGCAGCGAGGCCCCCAAGAGCAATGGCGGCAGCAGCTCCCAGGGTACACTGGCCTGCAGCGCCAGTGACCAGATGCGCCGTTACCGGACCGCCTTCACCAGGGAGCAGATTGCTCGACTAGAGAAGGAATTCTACAGGGAGAACTACGTATCCAGGCCTCGGAGATGTGAGCTGGCCGCAGCCCTGAACCTGCCTGAAACCACCATCAAGGTACAAGCCTTAGAACAGGGGCCGGGGAGGATATGGGGTCTGTCCCCTCAATGGAAAGTAAATACCAATGACCGACCACTCCTAAACCTCAGGCCAGGAATGGCGTCTAGGATCTTCCTGCCAGTGGCAGCCTGGCTGGGGGTGTCCAGGCCTGCTAGAGGCAGATACACACACGCACCTGACAGTCACTGAGTCGGCACTGCTACCTTGGGATTGACTGTCCCTTTCTAGTTAAAAGGACAACTGGACGGGTGCCTGTGTGGGTCACAGTAGGTGTCCCAAGGGAGAGCAGATGGAAAGGGAGGCGTTTCTGGGGGAAACTGCCCTCTTAACACCGGGAGAGTCCTTAATCCCTCCACAGTTTGCAAACCCACACTGGATTCTGGTGCTCCAGGGGGTCCTTGCCACTTCATTAGAGGCCAGCAGTGACAGGGACTAGAGTCAATCAATCTCTCAAGGAGGTATTCCAACTCCACGGGTGGTGGTGGGATCTGAACCCAGTGCGTCTCTGCCGCGGCTCTTCTCTGCCCCACTGGCCAGGTTCCCTGCAGTGGAACCGAACTGGGCTCCGAGCCTTGGAGTGAGCGCGGCCGCTGAACCTCCTCTCCTCCCGGCAGGTGTGGTTCCAGAACCGGCGCATGAAGGACAAGCGGCAGCGACTGGCCATGACGTGGCCGCACCCGGCGGACCCCGCCTTCTACACGTACATGATGAGCCACGCGGCGGCCGCGGGCGGCCTGCCCTACCCCTTCCCATCGCACCTGCCCCTGCCCTACTACTCGCCGGTGGGCCTGGGCGCCGCGTCCGCCGCCTCCGCCGCCGCCTCGCCCTTCAGCGGCCCGCTGCGCCCTCTCGACACCTTTCGCGTGCTCTCACAGCCCTACCCTCGGCCCGAACTGCTGTGCGCCTTCCGCCACCCGCCGCTCTACCCGGGCCCGGCGCACGGACTGGGCGCTTCGGCCGGCGGCCCCTGCTCCTGTCTCGCCTGCCACAGCGGCCCCGCCAACGGGCTGGCGCCCCGAGCCGCCGCCGCCGCCTCGGACTTCACCTGTGCCTCCACGTCCCGCTCGGACTCCTTCCTGACCTTCGCGCCCTCCGTGCTTAGCAAGGCTTCCTCGGTCGCGCTGGACCAGAGGGAGGAGGTGCCCCTCACCAGATAAGGGGCTGCCCTTGGGCTGCCGGCTCCAGGATGCCCAGGGGGGCCTTTCCCCGGACTCAGCCAGCGTCCCTCCCTGCTCCCTGGGCATGGAGGGGGGAAGAAGAGGATCGAAGAGGAGCGGCGGACTCCCGCGAGGAGGAATGGGAAGCCTGGGAGGGGGGCCTTTAGGAAGCAGGAGTGGGGATGGGGAGGAAGAGGCTGAGAGAGCTTTATTTGCAATGGCCCCTCTTTGCCATTCTTCAACACATCCTCTGCACCCTACGGGGTTGAGGCCTGGACTCTAAAGCTCAACAAATTTAGCAGCAACGGCTACCAATATCCAGCCCCTCAGCCCCTCACTTCAGCACCTCACACCTCTTCTTCACCCTGAACTCCTCCTCCCCCTGCCAAGGCGATCCCAACACTGCAAAGGGAACAAAATGCTGTGTATGCAGAGCAGGTAGAGATTAATCTTTGCCAGCTTTCCCAAGGCAGGGCATGGGGCTTGTGGGTGGCAATGCACCATCATCTAGGGGAGAGAGAAAAAGAGAAAAGTCCAGAAAATGTGGGCCCTCCCTTGAAACTCCAGCCTTCCCCAAGCTCCCTTACACAACAGCTTTAGGGTTGGGCACCAGCCAGCATCTACTATTACCTGATTGATCTCTTTGCTCTCTCTTAGTTTCCTGATTCCTCTTAATTTGCAACTCCATCCCCACTCCCCAGCCCGGACTTCGTGTTTGACGTTGGCTGGAGGCTGCAGATGCCCCAGGGCTCCCTCGGCAGCTTCTATGGAGACTCTTCTCCCTGGGTCCAACACGCACCCTGATTAGCAAGTGATGTGTGTGAGGAGGGTTTTGAATGTTGAATGTATAATAATGATCATGGAGCCCAGAGCTGAGCTGTTAACAAGGCGCCCAGGGAAGAGCTTAGGGAGCTGGGACCTCATCGCCCTCCCTGTATCTGGCAGCAAATTAGAGGCTATTTCTAGCCTTTGCCTGTTCACCTTCACCTCATCAGGAACTTTCTGGTCCTTTCTTTTGCATTCAGGATTTTACATCCTTCTTCGTCTCATTTTCCTCCCAAGCTACCAATGGGGATTGATTTTCAGATGCTAGTGGGAACATTCTGCCCCATCTGGGGACCTCATCTCTCCATTTGATCAGGGTGAGTTACTTCTAAACTCTCACCCCTAGTCTCATTCTTGCAGCTAGATTCTGAGGGAGAGGTTAACTCATACTCCCCACTACAAGCTTCACCCCAGCTGGGAAGGAGTGATTCTTCCTGTAAGGAATGAATTCAGTTTGGTTTGGTTTTCCTTTAAAGCCCAAAGAATTCGCTGTTACAATTTGTTAATCATATTGCAATAAAAGCTGACATGATTCTCACTTCAGCATTTTATTTTTTCGGCAGCAGGCATTACACTGATTCTTTTTGAGTTGTTAGTTCAGCCACCATGGGCTTGGGTAAAGGAAGGAATGAAAATATGGATTCAGTTTTCCTAGTCTCTGCTGGGCATTGGTCGGCTCCAAATGGACATTGCAGAGAGGTGGTGAAAGGGGGCCCTGAGCTTCTCTTGGCGCAGGTTTCCTTAATCCTGCACACTCTGGAAATGTTCCATGGCTAAACTGGCTCAGCAGAGTGATAAACGCCCTGGGGTTCAAACCTGCCTGCCAAAGGATCCTTCTCCAGGTGCTCCACACCTTTGAGTAAAGGTGACCCTGGACTGTGATCTCAGTGGATCTCCCTTCAACCCCAATCCAAGGTGAATATAAACAAATGGGGCATGGGAGTGGAGCTTGAGCACTACTGAGAGCTGGGATGATCATCAATCTGGGCCAGCATTTTAGGGTGAGGGAAGCGGAGGCCTCCTGGATTGGGATAAGAGAGTATGAATTAGCCTAAAACTAGGATTCATCTCTAAGGAGAGAATTCTGGGTTGGTCAGGGCAAGCAGATAGCCAATGCTCAGAGCCAGCTCATCTCCATCCTCACTTCCCATAGAACACAGCAGCTGTCTGAAGAGTAGAGATAGGTGTTCTCAGCAGGCTGGATATCAGCTGCATGGTCTCAAAGGGCATGGGGGACTTCTCAGTCAACCTCTAGCCCTACTTGGGTGCCAGAGCAAATGCTCCTGCATACAGAGGCCCCTGCCTCCCAAGTAAAACCTTATAGTGAGGTTTTCAGAATTCTCCCTGCAACTGTCCCGCCCCTCAGTACCATGAAACTTCCTCTGCAGCTTGGAAGCTCTTGGTGCCAAACACCACAAAAATTTGAGGTTACTATGTGTCGGGCCCAGATTGCTTGCGACAGGTAAATGGGTTACGGGTTGCCGTAATGCCAGGCGTATTTTCAGTTAATAGGGAGGGAAAATGAGGTGTCTGCAGCGATATTGGAAAGTACAAGATCGATGATCCGGCCTCGTGTCCAATCAGCAGCCTTTAATTGACTGTATTTTCTGGGTAATTGAGCCTCTCTTCCTCCAAATTGAAGTGGAAGATATAACAATACATCTTGCCAGGAGGAATTACTCATTACTTCATAATGAAATTTCCCTTTTGCCAAGGTTTGCGGTTTGGCTATAAGAACCAACTCTCACTCCTTCCTCCACCCCCAAACCTAAAGCCAAGTTTTGCTTGTATGCACCTGCTAACTGTGTCTGGCATGATATTTCAATTTTGGTGGTATGGTGGTGGGGTGACAGTAGAGGATGATGATGAAGTCACTGCTCCTCCACACAGCCTCTTCACCTATAAAATGAAAAGGCAACTTGACCAAATAACAGGTTTCATCTATTGTTTTCAACTTTCTGATCTCTATTTAGCTTTGCCCCATTTCAGTCCCATTTTGCAGGTGGGATAACCGAGGCATTGGGTCTCAGTAGTAGCCAAAGCAGATATGAGCCTTAGGTTGCTGTTATCCTACCCAGTCCTCAGGCCTCTTTGGTGTCCAGAGTCCATGGTCACCTCTTGTGAAGGCTGTTATATAACTCCTGACTCACTTTCCCAGGGCTCCTCAACGGGTTTTGGGATCAGGGGAGAGGGTCTAGGAGCGCTGTCCAGCATTCAGCCATGGTCCTCACGGAAAGACCAGCCTCCCGGAAGCCTGAGTGTGTGCTCAGCGCTGCCCGTCGCTGGCTTGTTAGCGAGTGATTGATTGCCTTATTAAAGCGTGTTCTTGTAAGTGTGACCAAACTGATTGCATTGCATATGTTTGGGATAATGCTCATTTTAAACAACAGGATAAAGAGGATGAGCTCCGCAGAGCCTTAGAAGACGAAATGATTCTGGCCAGCAGCTCCCTAACTCTGGCATTAAATTGCCCAGTTACATAGCAAATCACTTGATTCCTACACCCTTGTCCCCATTTTTTTTTCTGGCCTGCAGTTTGATCACATCCCCCACAAATGGTTTCTGTAGTGACTACATCAGCAGCGGTGCTGACTTCTTAGCTGCAAATCCTGCACCTGCACTACCAGACACTTCCATCCCCAGTGGAAGGACAAGTGATCTAGAATGCAGCCTCTCACCCTACACTTCTCATGGGGACATGGTCCTAGCTCTTCATGGCGAAAGGGAACTTAGATCCTCTCCTAAAGTTGTGTATACACATATGCTCATCCCCACCCTCAACCCTTTTGAGAAAGTTGAAAAGGTTCTTTTGTTCCCAAGCTTCTCCTGCTCAGTTGCTTCCATTATCCCCCCAATCAAGGAAACACCCACAGCCATATGTCTGCCAAAGAGCATGGGTGTCACTGAGGGCAGTTGCCACCATAGGCAGACGGATGTTTTTCCTCCATGGCTTCCTTCCCATACAGTCTCCCCCGGAGTGAGAGAAGGAGGAATTAGAATCAGTGTGTAAAGGAGGGAAAAAAGGTATTGTAAAAACAAAGAAACAAACTGGAATTTCTTCTAAGTAGCCCTCACCCTCGATAGTCATTGTGGCTGGGTTCTCTTTCTATGCCAGTTTCCTAACAAAGAAATCTCCAGCTGGTTTCTACCCACTTCAGTTGACTTGCACAGGAGCCACACTGCTGGCAGATTGAACTTTCTACGGGACACCTTTGGGATACACTGGAATTCTAATTTGTTCAAGATGATGGTGATCATCAGGACAAATCAGAAATGATGCCACTCTTCAGGGTGTCATTTGTAAGTACAGTCACACCGATTCGTTTGCAAGACTCAGCTAAAACCCTTTTGAATATGTGACTGGGTTCAAACAGCAAATTTCTTCCATTACTCAACTCCTCCCCCACTTTGCCCCAGTGAGCACATCGACTACCTTAGGGTGAACCAAGGCCCAGCTCACCATTCGTGCCAGTTTGTGGGACCCTGGAAATGTTGATCCTGAGGGGGAAAAAGCCAAGTACAAAACGAATACTACCATCTACAAAGCAAACAGAAACACAAAGTCATTTCCAAAATAGCCTTCTCAGCAAATAAGTATGTGATATTCTGAGCAGGAGCAGGAGAGAGAGAAAGATTGCCACTTAAAAATAACATGAAAGCATTAAGTAATTATTTAAAACAAGGCTGTTTAGAAAAATATTTGTATTTATTGCAGCTGCTCAATTGGCCTCGTTAAAGTCGGCAAGCATTTAAATTGTGTTACAATCTCATTTAAATCCCGCTCCGTTCCAGCAGGCTGAAGAGCTTGAATAGACCAATCACTTCATAATGATGATGAATGAGAAATTAATTCAGATACAAGCAAGACAATTTAGGCCTTCATCTGTTTAAATAGCCTTCCAATATTATTCGCGATCGCGGGTCACAGATTGAATCAATTGTCCAATCTTGTGAAAGTCATATCCTTGCATCTTCATCCAGATTATTTATAGCGCAGTGAGGGCTGCTGAAAGGTATACGCTGTTAACAGGGACAATTACTTAAAGGGAAGCGTTTATAAAATGGAAAACAAATGCCGGGGTTAGTAACAAATGGGATCAAAAGCAGTCGTTCCAATCTGGCTCCTCGAGTCAAGGAGCGCACCGACCTCCGCAAGATGAGGGGCGCTCCGCACTTGGCCTCTGTCCTTTCCTCGACCCGGAGAGGGTCTCTCCCTTCCCGGTGCTTCTGGCTGCGCCTGGCAGGCGGTGGGGACTCCGGCCCGCATGGTTCTCGTCCGCTTCAGACCGTGCGGGAAACCGCG